TGGCGGTCTGGCTTAGTTAAGGGAGCGTTTTCATGTTTTCCTTTAATTCGAGTATCTCAACCCCATTCTCTTAATTCTTCTTCGCTATACTTTTGGGCTCAACTAGAATCTGGTTTTAAGGGCATTCCTTCCGGTCGTGGTAGTTCTTTAACCGTTCCTTTTTTAATGCCCACTTTTCACTCTCTTTCCGCTGGTTCGGGTTCCGGAATAAGTTTTTGAGTTTGGGTAAGAATGTTTAACTGGGCTAAAAGTTTGTTTTCTTCGGCTTTTAATTGGAGAGATTTTTGAATTTTGGCTAAGGCTAATTGTTCTTTGCTAAAATCGGCTAATTGTTGCGTTTTAATTAAGTTATCTAAGCGTTCATTAGCTCTTTTGGCTTCTGCTTTAACTTGTTTAGTTTCTTGCTGGTTTTTAGTGATGGATTCTTCTAAGTTTTTGATGCGTTGGCGTTCTTTTTGTAAATCTTCGGTTAGTTTATTAACTTGGCGAGTCGCTTTGCGAGCAATTGATAAGGCTTCTTCGGCTTGTTCTTCAATTTCTAGGAAAGAATTTTCCATTTTATCCATTCTCCGGTTAGTTTCTTCGGCAATTTCGCCCATTTGGTCAGCTACTAGGTCAAGTTTTCTTTGTTGTTGGTGAATAAGTTCAAATTGATTATCCACATCATCGGCTAACTCTTTAAACTCCACATTTAAGCGTTTTTGGTCGTGCTTAACATTTTCTACCGCTTCTTCATATTCTTCTAAAATTTCTTGGGTTTGGTGAATTTTAGTGTTGATTAAGTTATTAGCTTGTTCAAATTCTTCGCGAGTTTCTTCTAATTCTAACTGGATTTTAGTTTCTTGAATTTTTAATTGGTGGGTGAATTCTTCTTGGGTGCTTTCGATTTCATGGTGGATTTCGTTTAATTGGCGGTCAGTTTTAGTTTGGTAGTGCTGAAAGTCTTCGCGGAGTTCTTCTTGTTGTTCATTAAGATTATTTAATTGAAGTTTATTTTCTTTGATTTTATCGCGTAATTCGTTATCAATAGCTTCTCTTTCTAATCTTTCTTCTAAAATATCACGAGCGTTTTTAGTTACTTTAACTTCGGTAGTATCTAAGCGTTCATTAACTTCTTCAAATTGTTGGCTAACTTCTTCCTTGAATTCGGAGTGGGCTTGGGAGAGATTAGAAAGGGCGGAATCTAAGCGGTTAGTTTGAGATTGGAGATTGCCGATTTGGGTGCCTTGGGCGGAGAGTTTGCCTTCTAGTTCAGATTT